AGAAACCTAGGGATCCCCGAACAGCCTGCGTAAAATTCTAACTAAAATTATTTCATCGTACACCTAAGCGACCAGTTTTATTTGCTGATCTAATAGCTGGGTTCGCATGCTTGACTTGCTCAAAGCCATCTTTGCTTGGAACTCGCTTCGGTTGCAACGCGCGGCTGCGCTGTGTGCGGCGCCTCCTCCGTCCTTCCAGCTAGAGCGTCAACGGTGTCGAGTTTTATAGCTAGGTAATAGGTAATATTTACCGTATCACTAAATATTTACTGCAAGCCAATCTGCGTTTTCGAATCGCTCTCTTGCCTCCAGCTACAGACCACTTAATAAATCGTTGACCCGGACTCCGAAAGCATCTCAGCGCCTGATATTCTCAGCTGTTCTCCGGTGAACACCTTACATTTACTTTACATATTTCCAGCTTTACATTAACATTCGGCGACCTATCGTTTGCGTGATTTTATTGAAACATGAATACTGTACACTATAATTTAGAGTCCCTTCTTACATTTCTATACCTCTGTACCACCTGTTTGGCACATGGCTATTCGTTTTCGGTACGCTCATCTTGAAGCTGAGGTTTATACGCACGAAAACACTTTCGACTGCGCAAAATATGGCAAGCGCATGTCCTCTCTCCTCAAGGAGGAGCAATTCAGGTTCGTGGCGTTACCAGTTTCAGCCCGAAAACCACTATAAAGCAAGCAAGGGGGCCACGCTTAGGCGTGTCATGCCTTCTGAGCGAGTTCGCCCGCAGCAACTTTTCAGGGACCTGCAACGGGGCGACCAACTGCCCCTAGCACTTCTACGAGAGATGCAGCAACTCTTCGTTTCCTCAGCTATGTAATAGACTTTACATAGTGAACTATGGCTACAAACCCGCAAGCGATTCCTGCCATCGTGTGCTTTCTTTCGGCTGCGCAAGCGGCGGAGTTAGCGGATCTCGTCAATTAACTATCACAGCCACAAGCCAAAGCCAGCAATGGCAACGCCGTTGCGTCCGGTTGCACTTCTATTACCGGCCTACAGTCACCTAGCAAATCCCTGCAAATACAAGTTGCGCCACTTAGTCTGCAGGTTCAACGGCTTCCTACGAAACGTCGTCGGCATAGCCGAGCAAAATTTCCCGTCAAACGTTTCAAGTCCACAATATGCAGCCTTGCTGTTGTCACCTTTAATGCTTGGCAACCGCCGCTCGTTCCGCTATTGATTAATGCAACCTTTTCCTTTTTCAAGCTAAATTTACATCCCTTTTACAATAAGAGAGATAACTCCTTGCCTGGCTACAACCTAGCGTCGGTTGTGCAGTCTCCTGCTATCTGAGTACTGCCAGACGCTTGAAACGTTTGGATCAAAGTTTTGCCTTCTCAGTACGCTCTTTTCCTTATTCTGAGACCCCTGTTTGGCCTGTCACCTGCCGCCTCCTATTGCGGCTCTTTCGAAACTGCTTCTCTTCTGATGACAAGCATTACTTCTATCCTCACTGTACTTTGACGTCGTAGCCCCAGCTTGCGGACTTAGATGGTTTTGTCTAAACGTGCGCCTTCTTATGGACGTCCGCGACATAGGTAACCAAGTGTCTGCTGAAGCAATGCTATGTTACCTTCAGCTCCATACATTGCTTGTCAGGATTTATCCTTATTATTACTTTCCCCTTCTTCCTCAACAAGTTTAATTTTGCAGCTGCTGTCTGTTAGTATCCAGACCTTACTAATACGGCTTAATCTACATGAGCTGACATCCTAGTCTCGTCTCCATGGACTCCTGCTTTCCTACTACCGGGCCTATACTGATGGACCATCGGTAAATCCTAAGGTCTGATCACGACACTTCGAGATCCCCGTAGGCTTATCCACTTCCCCGCAACCTACACTTTGCCTCCCAGCCGCTGTTCGTTCCTTTGGACACTCTCTGTTAGCACCCTTTTTCAACTGGAGGGATATCTCCACGGGCCTGGATCTAACCTCGCCCCGTCTGCTACATCTCTCACTTTCTGACGGTTTACAGACATACGAGACGTAAACGATCTAGGCTCTGCAGTATCAACACATTCTGTCCCTCAGCCTAAGAGCTTCGCCCGGCGTGCTAACTAGTTTTCTTATAGCCGCTGTCCACTCGCAAGTCCCCTTTACTTATGCCACCCATTACTGTTAGTACCGCGTTAACTTCGAGGCCTAGCTTCACCTTGCTGACTTACCGGGTCTTACCTGAATGGTCTCCTCTTTTCCGACCTCTCTTGGACTTCTGAGGTCTAAATAATTTAGGCATTGCCAAACCAACGCCCTGACTCTCACCACAAGAGATTTGCTGGTAATGATTCAGGCTTCATGTCATACGCACCTTTCATCCTTAACATGTATATTCCTGCCGATGCCATTACTAGCATTCCGACATCAATAAAACGGCTTTCTCTCTTTGTGCCGAAATTTTAGTCCCGTCTTACTGGTTACCTGCTTTCCGACTACCGGGGCTGCACCGGCGAAACAGCTGTAGATTCACTGGTCTGTTCACAACACCTCAAGATCCTTGTAGGCTTTTCCACTTCCCGAGATGGATTCCTTTCCTTCTACACCCTATACCTTTCTTTTCGCGCTCACGGTTTTCAGTCCTTTTTCAATTGGACAGAAATCTCTTCGGGCTTAACTCTAACCTGGCCTCGTCTGACCAGTCTCCTACTTGCTGATTGCTTCCAGACATCCGAGACGTAAACGATTTAGGCTCGGTATTCCGAACACTCTGCTCCGCTCATCCTTAGCGCTTCGCTCGGTATGCTATACACCTAATTTTGGCGCAACGCTGCCACCCTTAAATCAGTTACAACGCTGGGCATTATTTATATCTCTTTTTATTAACAAGGACGAATCATCACCTGAAGAACCTTGTTGACTTTTCCACATCTCCTAAATAGAACTCCTTTTACCAACCCATTTCTTTCCTTTCCTTGCTTTCTTTTGCACTCCTTCAGTTGAAGCTACCTTACATGTGTTTGCCCTCCATGACTTCGTGCGTTCGTACTAATTTAGGACTGATGCAACGCGGCCTATTCGCTTCTTCTGAGTGATATCCTCTTCTTTAATCCGCACAGCTCGTTCTCCTCTCGCTGGTCCCCACAGATTGGGTATATGCGCAGTTAGCAGTACGCGCTCACAGCTCCTGCTTGCTGAGTTGAAAGAAAAGCAGCTCAAGGAGGAGCTAGAACTAGAAACTAGGGAGCAAGAACTTAGCAAACAGCGTAGATTGTTGAAGGCTAGACAGGAGGTCGAATTCGCCCAGCGTAGCGCCTTGCTGGAAGACGAACAAGGCGATGTAGACCTACCCGCACTCCCTATTTATTCGTCAAACAGAGTTGACGAGTTTGTCACGGAATGTGCTGCGGCGGCTGCGAATCAACCATCCGCCGGTTGTTATGATGAGTTGCCGATTGACCCCCCCACTGCCACGTTGGGAAACGTTATAGCATCCGCTCTCGTCCCACTTATTGCGGAAGCTGGTCTCCCCAAAGTAGAGCTGGCTTATTTCGATGGGCACCCAGCTGACTACTGGAGGTTCGTCAAGCAGTTTGAGTTCTATGTGGAGAGCAAGGTGGTAGATGACGGAAGACGTCTGCTCTACCTCATTCATTACTGTAAGGGACGAGCTAGACTGGCTATTGGCAACTGCGTAATGCTGCCGACCGGTCAGGGTTATGAAAGAGCTCGACGTATCCTTCGCGACCTCTTCGGGCAAGCACACTACATTGCTAGGGCATCGATAGAAGGCCTACTTCAAGGCGCGAAGTCCATTCCCAACAACGCAGATGCCCTGTCGGAATTGGCCATTAAGATGGAGAACTGCCACATCACATTGAAACAAATGAACTATGAGGCAGATGTAGACTCCTCCACCACCCTAGAAGAGATAGTCCGTGCCCTACCGAAGCCCCTGCAGTACAAATGGGCCGAAATCGTCGATCAGCTAACACTTAGTGGTCATGAGCCCAGTTTTCTGAACTTAACCACATTTGTTTCATCGCGGGCACGCCTAGCTCGCAGCCGGTTCGGACAGTTAGCCGATCGATCACCCCGTGGTGTCGAAACGACTGTTACGAGAGCTCCTCCAAGGAAAGAGTATCCGGCGATAAATGGCCATTACGCTGGTCAGAGAACTAAGTCGCCTGCCAGCCCCACCCACTCCTGCCCCGTTTGTTCGGACAACCACTTGGCCGCGGAGTGTGGAATATTTAGAGAACTGGACATATCGCAACGATGGGAAATGTTAAAAACCAAGAACCTCTGTTTCGGTTGCTTAAGACCGGGCCATATCGCCAAAAACTGTGGCATTCGCCGAGCCTGCAATGCCGCTGGTTGCCAATCTCGTCATCACAGCCTGCTCCATGGTGGCGAAGTCCCCAAGTTAACTCACGCAGTATCCACAGATCAGGCTCGCTGCGGAGTCACAGACGCGGGCTCGCGTTGTGTCGCTCTTGGGGTGATTCCGGTGACTGTGTTCGGTCCGTTCGGGTCGATAGAAACCTATGCACTTCTCGACAACGGTTCAGATACAACACTGATCACCCAGGATCTCGTCGGCCGCCTCCGTTTGGAGCCACAGCCGTCGTCTTTGACGATTACGACGATCAACGGAGACCGCAGTATGGATAGCTCCGTGGTCAAATTCTACTTGCGTTCACTAAACGGGCTAGAAGAGATTGAGGTAGAGCGCGCGTTCGCAGTGCCTAGTCTGCCTATTCAAGCATCCTGTCACGGAACACAAGCGGAGGCGCGCAAGTGGCCGCACCTGGCCGATCTCGACTTCGAAGAGATCCGCGACCCGCGGATATCATTGCTGATTGGTTGCGACATTCCGGAGGCTCACTGGGTGTTAGACCAACGACTTGGTGGTTGCAAGGAACCGTACGCTATCAAAACCTTGCTGGGCTGGATTGTGTTGGGCCCTCTGGGATCTGCGATGCGTCGAGTTGCATCCGTTAACGGCATCTGGGCGGCGGACATACCCATCGCTGACCAAATTCAAATGCTGTACAACGCTGAATTTTCAGACTTTGATGCTCTTGAACTATCCATGTCATGTGAGGATTCAGCGGTAGTTGCTAAGACCGAGGCGGGGACGCGCTTGGTACATGGACACTACGTTGTTCCTCTCCCTTGGCGAGACGGTAGCGAAGTTCTATCTAGTAACAGGGTCATGGCCGAAAAAAGACTAGCGTACCTTAAACGTCGTCTACTGCGAGATGGCGGACTTTTCTCCAAATACACACAGTCAATAAACTCGATGCTGGATAAGGGTTATGCGGTTAGAGCTCCGGCGAAGACCGGACCTCGGTGCTGGTACCTACCTCATCACGCGATAGTTAACCCCAAGAAACCGGAGAAACTTAGAGTGGTTTTGGATTGTGCGGCGAAATTTCGAGGTCGGTCCCTAAATGACCAACTCTGCCAGGGCCCCGACGTCACTGCGAACCTGACCAAAGTACTTACTCGGTTTCGGAAGAATTTAGTGGCGTTAGCAGCAGACGTGGAAGAAATGTACATGCAGGTAAAGGTGCCGGAGGACGACCAAGGAGCACTGCGGTTTCTGTGGTGGCCAAAAGGCGACCTGTCTAGTGAACCTGTCGACTACCAGATGACCGCCCACCCATTCGGGGCGACGTCCTCGCCGTTTTGTGCCACTTATGCCCTTCGCAAGACGGTGAGTGATTTCGGTCATTTATACAACGCTACGGTAACGAATGCAGTCACCAATGGTTTCTACGTAGATGACTGCCTGGTATCATTGAGTTCAGTAGAGGAAGCAGCGCAGTTTGCCCACGACATATGTGAACTGCTAGCCAAAGGGGGATTCAGGCTGCGGAAATGGATCTCGAATAAGACGAAGGCCCTAGATTTGATATCCCCTACCGAGTGGGCACGAGCGCCTAAAGAACTCGTTGTTGGCTCACACTGCAATGATCGTACGCTTGGGCTCGAATGGAACGCTGAGACAGATCAGTTTTGGTTCCGATTCAGCGTTCGCAACTGCCTGGCAACCCGACGGAGCATCCTGTCAACTATATCATCGATGTTCGATCCCCTCGGATTAGTGTGTCCTTTGCTTCTACCAGCCAAGGTGCTTCTACAGAAATTGTGTAGAAGAGGACTGGGTTGGGATGACCCTCTCCAGCCGTCAGACGAGCAAGAGTGGAAGCAATGGATTAATCACACTTTGTCTATTGGCCAACTATCGGTTCCTCGTTGTGTGCTGCGGAGCATAGAGACCTCTGAGCAACGCGCACAGCTGCACATTTTCAGCGATGCCTCTGAAATTGGGTATGGTGTGGTCGCATATTTACGGCACACCTCTGCGTTGGGTCAGCCTTATTGCTCTCTCTTGCTTGCAAAATCCAGAGTTGCTCCATTGAAGGCAACATCTATACCCCGGTTAGAACTTGGAGCGGCAGTGTTGGCAGCGAAAGTTAATCAGATACTCGCAGATAGTCTGAGTATGAGTCCACGAGATACACGGTATTGGACCGACTCGCAAATCGTGCTGCACTACATCTATAATAAGTCGACAAGATTCAGTACATTTGTCGCTAACCGAATTGCCGCCATACAACAGCTGTCGGAACCGACGCAATGGAACCACGTTCGGTCGAAGGATAACGCAGCAGACTTGACCTCGAGGGGAACCCTGAAGTTAAGCGAATGGAGAGCGTGGGTAGGAGGACCGGATTTTCTCCTACAAACCGACTGCTCCTGGGTACACGGGTATACCCCAACGGAAAGCATGGCAAATGTGGAATTAAAAAAGCCAAGTAGTTCCATAAATGCTACATCAACAAACCCCGCGAACCCACTGCTGACGTATTTTTCGAGTTGGGCCAAATTACTGAAGGCAGTAGCTTGGTTGGTTCGTTTCAAATGCTGGTTACTATCCCGTCACAATGCGCATCGGGTATATGCTAGAGGTCCGCTGTTAGTTTCCGAGATAGAAGATGCCAGGAAAGACATCCTGCGCATGGTGCAACGCGAGACGTTCAGCAACGAACTGACAAACCTTAAAGCGTGCAGCAATCAATCGACCCACCTTAGTCACGCATGGAAAAAACGAAACCCAATCCGTCGCCTGTACCCAACTCTGATCGAGGGAATTATCTGCGTCGGAGGGCGGTTGAACTACACAGACTACGAGGAGAGTTTGAAGCACCCTGCTATCCTTCCCAGTAGGCACCCAGTTGTCGAGGCGCTGGTGCGTCATTTCCACGTCTCAGAAGGCCACGGTGGAGTGCATCACGTGCTAAGTGCGATCCGCACCAAGTACTGGATACTGCATGGGGCTAAAACAGTGAAGCGAGTGGTCGGAAGCTGCATCCGCTGCTGGAAGCGCACAGCCACTCCGTGCCAGCAACAGATGGCACCATTACCCTGTGCCAGGGCGGAAATTGGTTGGTTTCCTTTCAAGAATGTGGGTGTGGATTACTTTGGCCCTATTGTTGTAAAGCGAGGAAGGACTGTGGAAAAGCGCTTTGGGTGCATATTCAATTGCCTGCAAACCAGGGCAGTGCACTTGGAAGCAGCCCACGACCTCTCGACTGATGCATTCATTACGGCATTCATCCGTTTCGTCGGCAGACGGGGCTGCCCATCAGAAGTATATAGTGACAACGGAACGAATTTCGTCGGGGCGGTTAGGGAATTACGTGATGGTGTTAAAAAATGGGATCAAAAACGGATTGACGGAGAGCTATGCCTTCGTGGTGTGCAATGGCATTTCAATCCACCATTTGCAAGTCACAGGGGCGGGGTGTGGGAAAGAATTATCCGCTCTGTAAGGAAAATATTGCACGGCGTATGCAACGAGCAACGCCTTACTGATGACTCCCTAGCCACTGTATTCGTCGAGGTAGAACGGATTCTAAACAATCGCCCGCTAGTTCCACCCACCTCCGATAGCCAAGATGCTCCTCCATTAACCCCGAACAGCCTACTTCTCATACGATGCGAAACCTTGCAGCTACCAGACATCGACATCAGAGACAGGTATACTAAGCGCTGGAAGCAAGTAGCCCACGTAGCCACGGGATTCTGGAAGAGATGGTTAAAAGAATACATAACAACATTACAATCTCGACAGAAGTGGCAGCTTCCGACCAAGTCTGTAGAAAAAGACGAATTAGTGTTGGTGGCTTCCGAGAAACTACCAAGGGGTTGTTGGCCGCTGGGTCGAGTCGTGAGTTGTGAAGCCAGCAATGACGGTTTAGTAAGGACGGTGTACATTAGAACGAACTCAGGTATAGTAAAAAGAGATGTCAGGAAGGTGTGCCGCCTGGAGGGCGATGAATAGCAGCGCTTAAGTCTGGCTTGGAGTGCAGGGTGGTAGTCATGGAAAACGGCTTTCACCCAAGCGCTTCGATGCCCACAGACGCCCACGAACGGCGCTTGGTGGGAGTCATGGAAAACGGCTCCTGCCAAGACGCTCTTGTGTGGTTGTGTTGCTTTCCCTTCTGCTTTTCTAAGGAGCGCTACTGTAGGCAGTTGTAGGACCGAGAGCCAGAGTAGAGTCGGGGACGTACGAGACGTCAATCGCAGAAGAATTTCGGAGGCAGTGTAACGCACTTATTTACCCATGAAATTCTTCTACTCTTCGCTTCGTGGTCTAGTCTGCACAGCTTGGCCGGTCGTTGATGGATATCGACCAGCGTTCACGTGTGCCTCCTTACATTCCCATTGTTAGCGTTGTATGTGTGTCTGTGTGTGCATGCTAATCACCGGCACTGGTTCCGTGCGTGTGCGTCTACCGACGACCTTGGATCTCCAATACTACTCTTCGCCGAACAGGACACGTTCAGCCCGGACATGTCTCGCACCCCTCCCCCATTCACTGGTCGCTTGTCCAAACACCATGTTATGCATGCCATTAATGCTCTCACCCTGTGATTGGACTATTCCTTGATTGGTCAAAACCATTAGTCTTAATGCTCGTACCACTCAGGTGCGGTGATTTGTACCCTTGATTTGTCCGGCGTAGACAACGCCTCCCTCCTATTGTTTACTGACCGTGTTGTCGACTTGCATATACCGGGATACTGAACAATTGAAGTATGTCACAATTAACAACTGTATATATTTTAATAGTACCGTAGTAATTGTGATCCGTCTTGTTTTGATTTCGGGATCTTTGGCTACGCGTTATTCAACGTTCACGGTGGACGTTACAAGGACCCTTAAACCCTCTTTGTTGCTTCTTCCTTCCTAATTTGGAAAAATCTTTCATCCTCTGCTGTTCTATGATCTGCTCGCCCCTCTTCGTACTTCGTCACTTACGATACGTATTTAGTTTCTACTTTTAAACAACAATTACATGATATAGGTATTCAATAGCTCAGGCATTTTTTAAATTGATCGACTGCGTCGCGGATGCATTTCCTCCGGTGTGTGTGTATGTGGCTGCCTTTTCGTTGCCCTTTTTCCCCGAGATTTTCACAGGTAAGGCGGCAAGCACTCAAAGAATTCTCCATCTTTGCAAAAGTAATATAATACCAGCCACGTAGTTCCCTTAAATGGATATGAGTAGAAGATAACCAGCCGTTTTTACCACTAACTAACTGGACAAGTCATGCGTTTTCTTGCAAGGATACAATGATATTGAGGCCTTAAGAATCAGTTTTCGTTAGCCTAACACTGGCTCTTCCACATACTTCTTACCTGGAGCACAGCTGTTGACTTGGCAAGGCACCTGCCGAAATAAGACCAGGATACTTGTCACGGTGAACTCTTCATTCCGCTTTGACCTTTTAAATGGCTGTGGTTGCCTACATTTCCAACCAAATTCGAACTTACATCGGGAGGATCTCCGATCGGCTTTTCGAAACCATATCCTATTCTGCAGGACCTAAACGTATCACAATTCGCATCCCACGGTTACTTTACATGATTCCGCAGACGGTCAAGATTTCACGTACAAAAGGTGTTTAATTTGTGACCTACCAATCGGGCGCAGCCATTCGTTCAACACAGGTCTGGACCCAGGAACGCAGTAGGCACACGCTATGACCTCAGCCAACGAAAAAATGGGAAGCAACTTGACTGCGAATAACAGAGGGAATAAACTTTCAACAAGAGGCATATCCAATTATAAGTTGCCATTCAATGGATGGGCGGTAGTGTTTCAGGACGTGGCGGGTTTCCGCCTAGCAAAAGTTCTCCCTATAAAAAGCCAAAACTGTCCATTTAACTACGCTGCAGCCTGGCAAATGTGACCCGCCACGGATTAAGTCATAGCCATTACCTTCACTAGCGTCACCATTTTAGTTACTTTCGTTACACTGGAACTTCTACATCTGCATATACTGTAGTCCCTGCTTCCTACGAGTTCACGCATATACGGTCGTCTCTTTACTTTCTACGATATCACTGTTGATCTTTAATTCACGTGAGCACAAACAGTGTATGGTCAAACCGCTCACGATCGTACTCTTTACTTTTCCTCCAATGGATAATTAAGGAGTCTTTATCTATTAATACCTTGGTTATAACTGCAATACATTAAGGACCGATTTTGCCTTAACAAACGTGTCCCCATCTCTCCACATCCCAATTGTTGTTACACATTTCCAACATTGTACAGTTCGAGCGTGAAGGTATGAACAATTTTCTATTGTAGCTGTTACACTTGCTATAAAATTTTCATACAGTTTCATCTAACAGATCATGCCTCCATGGGCGTGCCTCGCGTAGTCGAGAATAAATTTTTTGTTTATTTATTTAACCGCAGTGTGCGTAGTTCCTACTGGTGATCATGTTGTCAGGGAATGGCCTGACCAAGGAAGTGATGGCGCTAGGGTGCGTAAATGGAAGTCATAAATTTTGGGGCAATTTCCAAGTTTGGCGTGGTTTGTCAGGTCGTAATCCAGAAGAACGGTGCAATACGGTAAGGTTTCGGTGCAAGCTTTATCCATTAAAACCTCGGAATGTTCGGTGCTCCTTCAGAACATTTTCCATAGCAAAATCGGCTGCACTGTTTGTATGGTGACGTCTGATAACTGCGGCTGTGTGTACTGTTCAGCTGTGTCTTGGTTCAGTAGCGAGACACATCCGCCACGTTGCAAGGTTTTCAAGCAAATATTTGTAGCTTTTAACAGGAGGACGCTTGCCGGACGAAAACCCACCATGGCCTGGAACGCTGCAGTAGGTTCGCTTGAATATTAATGCAAGGCGGCGTTGCCTCGTGCAGACGGATTTTGCACCCAATTATTCGCGATCGATGGACGGCCAAAGTTCTTCATTGATTTTGACCGATTGGCCTAGTAATGATCCGGCAGTAGTCTTTGAAACCGGTCAAAGGTGAAACAGAGCCTTAGAGTCGAATGAGGAGTGGTGCAGGTGAGCAAACTTATTGTTAATGGAGACCGGCCTCTTCTTCTCTTACGTACTTCTTCCGTAAGGGTTTCCCACTTGCCTTGTCATTCGAGGACAAATACAAGGTCCTTACGTTGTGGAACCTTGACATACCTAAGGTCAGCAGGAGGAAAACAAACGGGCACTGTTTGAGGCACGAATGGCTTATGCTGTTATCCTCTGGTGTTAGTAAACTTGACCTGTGGCATGCTCTTGGCTAGCCGCTGAGCGTAGTTAGCTTTGTAGAGGTAAAGTCTGAGACTGTCGGAAATAATCACCAGGTAAACGTAGAGGTTTTCATCTACCAGTTATGCGCTGGACGTATGCAGCTCGGTCTTGTGGGAGGATCAGATGCAAAGAAGTAGCATGTGCAGAGCTTCAGCCCAATTAAATGCATTAGCGGCGCTGAGTGCAGAATAGGGCTGTCGGTGGAAACCTTCCATCATGCCGTTCGCTTGGGAATGATAGGCAGTAACTAGGACGCGCCGGCGTCTAATGAACTTAAGAAGATCGTTGAACATGGAAGATCCGATTTCCGGTGCGTGGTCGGCAGTCACTTTGGCTGGACAGCCATGTACAGTGACGCAACCCTCTACAAAAGCGCGTGTAACGATTCCTACAGTTACTTTAGGAAGGGGACAGCTTCGGGCCAACGAGTGCAACGCTCATTCATGGGCAAAAGTCGACCATTCCTTTGGACAGGGCCAAGTGTTCAACTAAATAGAGATGGACATGGGTGCGTCGCGTTGAAGCGAGCGGGAGGCGCCCAAGTGGAGTGGATAAGTGCGGCTGGACCTTGACTTTCTGGCAAGCGAGACAGGCGTGTGCCAAACGCGTAGGATCACGCTGCATCTCAGGCCAAACATAGCGGTCAGATATGAGTTTTACCATGGGTTTAGTGCTTGGATGTGCAAGGTTGAGGAGCGTATTGAGAACACGACAGCAACGGGTTTCATGAACGACGGGTCGCGCTCGTCCTGTAGATTTGCCACATAAGATTTTTTCATCGGATGATCGCAGGGGTGTGAGAATAGCTTCAAGGAAGAATCGGAAAGCTCTGTATAACTCTGAGTATTTGGTTGCGCAGCCGCCATGACAGATACCTTAATTACCTGCTGGGCGGAGCTAATTGCAGCCACCCTTGACAGCGCGTCAGCGACGACATTCTGTTCCAAAGAAAGGTGTCGAATATCGGTCGAAAGTTGGGCGAGGAACAAGCTGACGGTGAAAATCGAGCTGATTTATTCCGAAAGGTGATAGTTAATGGCTTATGGTCGGTAAAGGGCACAGTGCTTATCTGCGAGGACATGTCGGAATTGTCGGATCGTCGAATAAACAGCCAACATACCTCGGCTGAATGTGTTGTACTTAAGTGCTTCTGATTGCAAGCGACGCGAATAGAAAGCAAATAACATCCAACCTCCAGTACTCCTCTACTGTAAGACCTCGCCGGTAACGGTGCTTGGTGAATCAAAGGCAATGCTAAGTGACGCTTTGGCGTCAAAACATTGTAGCATAAAGGAGGCGGCTAAAGCATATGTACTTGCACTAAAAGCATCAATTGCGGCTGGGGTTGGTTCTACATCCCCGTTTTTGCTACCGCGGAGTAAGTTGGCCAACGGGCTGCGCAAAGCAGCGCAACGCGCAAGAACGTCGATAGCACTTAATCATAATTTTAAAAGGGTAAATGATAGCTACCTTGTGCGGAAGCGAAAATTACCGGCCAGCTTGGATCCTTTCGTCTAAAAGCCGTTTGCCCTGTTGAAAAATGCGATGACTAAGGAGTCTATAGACGGCTGCTGAAAGGTAGACGTGTCCGGATTGACATTGGTACTATTAGCAAGGGGCCTTTCAAGGAGAATTTTTGGGTGCTCATTATGAGCTTCCTTGGATGCGCTGGCTACTAAACTATCGTTGATTTAGGGATAGAGAAAATCCAATACACAAGTGCCGGAATCTATAAAATGCTGAAATATTTGCGGTACGTTGCGCAAACCAACTGGTATGCGAAGAAATTCGAACAACCCAAAAGACTTAATGGCAGCGGTCTTAGCTAGGTCTTTGTCGATGCTCGGGATCGCTTGGTAAGAGCCTACCGTCCCAACTTTGGTGAACAGGCGGGCACCCCTAGGTTAGCTGTAATGTCCTGAATGTGCCGTACGGGGTACCGTTTGGGAACGGGTACAATGTGCAGTGCGCAGTGGTCACCACACGGATGCCCGTCTGCTGGCATTTTGGGCACAAGTTGAAACAAAGACTCCTACAGGCCCTTCTTAGGTCTAACTATATATAGTTCAAGCATTCCACGAAATCGGCTTCAGCGGTGCGAAGTTTATCCGGTGTAGGTCGTTTGGACTTAGCAAAAATAGGCGGTGTCTTCGTAAGGATATGATATTTCGCTGCATCGGTGATGGCAAGTATCCTAGTGATAGCAAGGAAACCTGTGGAATACAGTCAAGGAACATTGTTCCGATGGGTGGGCTCATCTGCTTTGCGTACACGGGGCTGATGGACTGAGTATCGGTCGAACTCTCAATGAGCTAGACTGGTTAAACGGTCGCTGTGACGTTGCTGCTTTTTACCTACTAGCCAGTCGTAGGGATGCAGAAACTTGAGTCCAACGATAGGTGTTTGGACGTCTGTAACGAGGAACACCTATTTATAAGATCGTCGTAATTCAAGTTTAAGATTGCGATAATGTCGGCCATGATGGTTCCGTTAGCGGCGCTTAATGAGATAGTCAGTTCCTCAGT